TTCTGCTCTCTCTGCTTTTTCTCATAGTATCTTCATCTGGTCGGTTCCTGTTTGGCTGTGACTCCATCCTGCAGAGAAATATCATCTGTGCTGCTGCCATCAACACCTTTGTTTATAGATGTTGGAGATCATCCCGTTTTTCAGTGTAGTCCTGTTTCTCTGACTGTGACTAATTGGATGTGCTCTCTTTCATCCTTTGACATGGGAGCTGGCTCAGAGCTCATCTGCCTGGCTGTGTGTTCCCTGGACATGGCCGCCTGTGGAGCTGATTGACAGTTGCCTTTTGTATCTCTGCTTTTTTTTTCTATACCTGCTTCCGTCTCCTTGAACCCCAGTCGGCCTCAGCAGATGGCCGCTCACACTAAGCCTGGTTCTGCTGGAGGTTTCCTCCTGTTAAAAGGGAGTTTATTCCTCTCTACTGTTGCTACAAGCATGCTTAGACTGAAGGATTGCCTTCGAGTCAATGAGTCGATGCAATCAACTGGTTTTCCTTAGATAGAAAACTTTCAACCAATCTGACTGGATGATCTGTTTGAATTGTTTCTGCAAAGTGCCTTGATGTTTTAGAAATAAATTGAATTGAAAATTTTAATGAATTGAACAGAATCGATCCAATAATGCAGGAAGAACAGAGAAAGCAACCGCATGACTAACGAACAACATTAAAAAATACACAAGACAAGCTGATAGCTGAAAACTGCCTGGCACAGACCTGAAAGGGTTAACTCAAAGAGGCAAAAATAAGTGAATACAGTAGGATAAAGAATTTATAAAAAAAATATGAAGAGGCTAAAAGGTATGAAGGAAATAACACCTGCAAAACTCGACACCTTCTGACCTCCTGAACACTATCTCACCCAAACATTTGCTGCTGCGTTCTGGTCCACCAAAGACCCAAACTGGGAGGTTCTGTCCCAGGAGCTACTCATTGATCTGTTTGATGAAGCAACTTTAATCCTCATCTTACCGAGGTGATTTTCCTTGATGATGGAAGTAGAATCTCTTCAGCCATTTGGGAATTCTGGTTTCTGGTCCAAAGCTGTAAAAACTGAAAAAAGCTCCTGTCTAAACAGCAGAGTCTGTCATCACTGGAGAAGCAGACGTCTTCCCACTGGCCCAAAAATATCAAATTCAGGATGAGTGGATGGTTGGAGTGGAGCAGCCTTCCTGATAACAAGCTCCCACAGTGTCATCACATGATGCCGAGCAGCGTGACGGATGCAGAGAGGAGCCTGCTGAGAGCAATTAACTCTAACAACATTTTAGAGGTTAGTGGGAACAGCATGGAGGAGAAGGAGAAGGTGGAGGAGGAGGAGAAATAGAGAAAAATGAGAAATTAAAGTTTGAGCTTCAGATCGAGCAAATCCGCAACAAATAACCAATGATGGCATCAAAGAAGAATTAAATCAGGAGAAAATAGATCCAAGGAAAGAGACACCGCCGACGAAAGGCAGGTGACAAAGAAACCGGAGCAACAGACGAGAGATTAGAGGAGATTAGGACGGAGCCAAATGTGAAGCAGAAATATTCAAAATGATTAGAGAGTTTTTACAAAAATGCATCCCATCAACTGGAAAAGACGGCATCCACTCATCTTGATGCATCTGAATCATCAGCTCATGTTAAACCTGAAATTATGTTTTCATGAGTTTTGATGTTCCATGTTACTCTTCATGTTGTCTGAGGCAGTCGTCTCCTGAAGACCTAAGATCACATGCTTGGTGCATTAATTCAACTTTGGCCTGATTAAATATCTGGCTGCTATTTTCCTCCGGGGGCTGGCACATGGTGAGATTAATTCAAAAATGCTTTGTGGTCATGTGTTCCTAATTTGGACTCCAGTAGCTGTGTCTGCAGCGGCAGCTCACTGGAATACAACCACCCGGCCGGCTTCACGCTCTCCTAATCCCATGACCCACCTCCACCGCTCCAGCATGAAAGGCTGGCTTTGTTCCGCGGCTCCTGTGCTTAAGCGCCAACATTATCCGCACTCATTACCTACCTAGATATTTATTCATGGATCCACCAGCTTGTCAGCAAATGGACACAGCAATGATCAGAGTGTCAGCTGAGATTTTGGAAAAGCTGGAAACTCACTTCTAGAAGATTAACTCAGGAAAAAGAGGGAAAATGGTGGAACATATATTACATTTCCTTTGAAGAATCAGTATTGACTTTGATTAGTTTTTCTTTGTTAAAAGTTTATTTATCAAGTGTTTTCTTGTGACTTTTTTTCTCCTCTTTCAGATCATTTCCCTGACCTTAATATTATTAGACTTCTTTCTTTAATGTTTGCTTCTTAATCATTGGGAAACAATTCTGTTTACATTTCTGTCAGATGTTACTTCAGTTCAATTCAATTCAGTTTATTTATAAAGCGCCATTTCACAGCACATGTCATCTGAAGGCACTTTACAGTTCAACCAGATCATACAGTCAAATTTATTCAAAGTTTTCTATCTAAGGAAAACCAGTTGGTTGCATTGATTAACTGACTCTACAGCAATCCCTCACACTAAGCATGGTTATAGTGACAGTGGAGAGGAAAAACTCCCTTTTAACAGGAAGAA